GCTAGTAGGCATGCTTGCTTTGGTTGATTCTTGCACTTGGCTTGCCTGGCTACCACACCTTAAACTGTTGCTTGAGGAATCAGTGGTCCCATTTTCTGGTTGGTGGCACTTATACGAGGCAGAACTGCAACGCTTCTTGTTTGGCATGCCAGCTCCGCTTTGACCTCACAAAAGGAATGGCAACGAAGGCCGTGCTGGTGAGCGCCTGCTGCATGGTCTGGATTCTTTCGGTATGCGGCGTTACTCGCATATTTGGCCTGGTTCCAGAATGACGTCGAGCAGCGTGGCACGCCAGAAAGATCCCAGTGCGGCAAATGCCACCCTGGCAGCAACAGGCCTTCTGTTGTATCGCACACACGACGATCCGTCAGTGGACAAGCAGTTTTCACCATGAAAGAAGCATGTCATGTTGCTTTGACATTGCACGCAACATCAACAGCTCAATACTCCTTGTATGTGTTCAGAAATCCAGATCCAGCTGTTGACCTGGAAACGGACACTGCTGTAGTCATGACTCATGACTCATGACTTTAGTGAACTTTAGTGCCTTGCTGCAGGGTGTGAGTTGTCATTGGCCCAGGAAGGCAAGCTAGACTGTGGTCCGTGTCCCCGGCACTTCAAGCTTCCGAGGGCTTTGCATGAATTACGCTACTGGATGCTGAAGTGGCAAGTTGTCGCAGTGACGATGCTTGGCTTCTGACTTCACTGGCTGCACCCGTGGCTCAGACTTGCACGCGAAAGCTGTGCAAATGAGCAGTTAGTGAGTTGCGACAGATGTGACGACACTCAGCTTTGCATTCTTATCGTGTGCATGCCATTGCACCTCGTCTTGAGATGTGATAGATCGAATCTAGGATCAAATTTCCAGCACTTCATTTGTTCGAAGTTTTGCATAACCAAGACTCGAGAAGGTTTCCTGTCTTGAACGGACGGTGCGGTGTGGTCTCCCATGCGATTTCGGGTTCAGAGTTGATAGCCTTTAGAGCAGGTTTTATTCGGAAGGCGGAGGGTGAACCAGGCAGGCCACTTCAGCAGGCCACGACCTCGGGAGGTTTTGCAAACGAATGGGGCACGAGACCTCCGATTACTGCATTGAACTGCAAGGCCCTGGTGACCTGTACGCATGTGTTGAGTTGCATCTGTTGCGCAGGGTTACGGAAGATGGCATGGGGGGCAAGACCATCAACCACTCTGAAGCCTGGGCACAACCACTGTAAGCCAAGTGACGATGCGTGTGCGCGCGAGCTGTTTTGGGACATCATCAGCGTACATAGACAGGAGTGCCGTTGGTGCCTCGGTGCCAGGTGCTTTGAAGACGTAAAACCTCCCTCAACAAGTGCCGCATCAACTTGGGCGCTGTTTTGCACGTGCCCCCCCCCGCCCCCTCCCATCTGACCAAGCGCATTTGGGAGCCAAGCACAGGAAAGCTGGAAGGGAACAACACGACAGTTCTTTTCTCAAAAGTTGCGAGAAGCAGCTGGAGTCCAACTCGACTTTGGCCGAGTTCATGTTGGCACCCTTGAGCGGTGTGGCCTTTGTTCTCGGGCGTGAGGAGGAAGAGAAGATTGGAAGCATGGACTTGGAGGAGGCTTTGAATCTACGTTGGTCGAGTATGTTCTCAAGAGGGAAGAGACGTCTTGGTCGGAAATGACGAAGATCATGGACCTCTGTTGCTTCGGATGCACTGATGCGGGAACGAGGTTTCGAATGTCTGGCTGTTCGACTCCCGTCGCATGGCGTTTTGTCCGAGAAAGTCGACATCATACAGCTTTACAAGTTCTGTAAATAGCTAGACGGGTGCACACGCGGGCAAGTCGTCCAACAAGTTCCATGACCAGCAATACTCTGTTCATTTTTTCTTCAATGTCTGCTTGTTAGAATTAGGTTTCTCGGCGAGTGCATTCTGAACCGATGCTCCGGTCATGGGTTCGACAAGAACATCAGATAGTCATGCTGTGGCGCCGAGACGCAAGAAGGGCTGCGGCTGCAGTGGATATGTTGTCTTGGCTTCTTTATTGGACTTCTTGGCTCTTTGTTGTGCAGCAGGGTGTTCGCTCCACAATCGATCGTCTACAAGGGAGCTGATTCAAAATCGAAAGGAAGGTGTCCATGGCCGCGTGGTACACGGCCCGGAACCAGTCATAGGCAATGGAATCATCATGCAAACAACCAAAACCGATGTGCACAAACACCTCACCATCACTGCAAAGGAGAAACAAGCAAGCATGCTGCAAACGTTCTTGAGAAGGAACGCGGGCTGCTTGGTTGGCAATGGAGATCCACATAAGCCAGTAGATCCGCATGCGGCGGTCACGCCGTGGCATTGGCAGCATCATGATGTTCGGTAGTGTGACCCCATGCGAAATACAACAATCGTCGGAAGAGCGTGGCTTTCAACAGATGGTCGTTGGTGCTTCTGGCTATTGGCATGTGTTGCTTTTAAAGGCTCTTGACTCGCTTGCAACATTGCTTGCACGCAAACCCTTGTTGGGCAGTGCCGGTGACAAGTTGCAGCTGCCCCAGCCCATCCCGTGGCCGCGTCATGCACTAAAAGCATTCAGGATGCTGCGAATGCATGTGCCCACTGTCTTCCTTCGGGTGCAGCGCTTGCCGTGGCTGCGGACATGGGTGCGGAATCTCGTTGACAACAGCCTTGCTCTGGCGGCTTTCTTCGGGTATGCAAACTTTGATGCTCACAGGTGAAAAACATTCACGATGTCATTCTGCATTGCGATCCTGGCAGTTCAATGGCTGCGCACCATGCCCTTGCCATACCACCTGGTTTTGAGCATACTCACCGCGTGAAAGCTGAGCCTGACCGTGATAATGTCGCCGATGGGCGCCGTTTGGCAAGCACGCTGACTGTAATCTCAATGTCGTGCCGCGCACTGCAGTGTCCGAAAAGCAAGGGCTGACTTCTTCAACTCACTTTTGGTGGCGACACAAGCGGTGACACGCAAGTCTGAAGTGATTATCGATGAGGTTGTCGAGGGCATGCCGAAGGTAGCATAGCCGTGTTGGGCTCCGTCCCAACTGCGGCGACACACAAGTCTGACATGATTATCGATGAGGTTTGTGATGGCCCAAGGTAGCACAGCCGTGAGCCGTGAAGAGGGCCCGCACCGTTATGGTCGCAGCTTTCGTCTCATAGCTGGCATGCGCCGAAAAACCTCAGCGAATCATCCCAAATCAGGATGTTCGCCCCAATGTCGTAAATGTAGTAAGATCGGGCGTTGATAATATGTTGACATGACAAAGGCTATGTCAGCTCAAAGTTCGGGGAGTAGGGCTGCCGGACCAAATGTTGTCCACAGTTGTCCACTATAACATGCTCCTGTAGGCAACAAGCCCTGGAGCATCAATCCGAAGGGCCGGCTCATCCTCGATAGCGTCGACGAAAGTCAGAGATCAAAAATGGGTGTTTGCACATGGGCCTGCGAAAGCAAGCTCAGCTTGCTTGTATCAAGACACCACGGCAGCCCCTGACGACCGAGCTCAGGGACCGCTCAAGAGCATTCTCAACAGGAGATTTTTCGCCGCTTTGAGGGGAAAAAATGAAAAGTTCTGAGGGAAGACCCGGCTGACGACTCGAGACGAAAGCTGAAAGCTCCAGCTTCTCGCAGGTTGAAACGAAAGCTGAAGCTGATGGGCCCATGGGGTTGCGTTTTAAGCAAAGAACCCGCTGTTTTCGGGAGGCCTGGCGGCTGCCCCTCTTCTGGCAGAACAAGTTGTGGCTATCACGAAAGGCTCTCTGGGGAGAGCTTTTGTGACAACGCCTCTCAGACGGCCTTGTTGGCCGTAGCCGTGGCAGCTGAAATAGTTGCAGCCGTCGCTGAGCCGTAGCAGTAGTAGTAATCATCGTAAGTCCAACGAAATCTCATTTCTTTGTGCTTGACCACTCCCCACCCGATGTTAAGGGCCCCTACAAATCCCGGCCCGGAGTCTGGGTTCAGGGGGTACTACGGCTACGGATAGTGCCACTGCTGCTGCTGCTGCAGCAGTTACTGCTACTACTACGGCGGTGGCTCCGGCTGCGGCTACGTCAATAAGTTTGGTGCAGGCAGCAATCTGCGAAACCCTGAAATGCACTTGACGAGGGAACCTGGACATCGAAAAAGACCCCCCGGGCAACTACCAAAAGAATTTGATAAGGACATGCTTACAATGGGACCCTGATCAATGCAGTGCGCAAACCTCGGGGCTACAGGTTTCTAGATTCGAAAAGGAACAGTCTGGTCGGGCTCTGGTTGTCGAGCACCAATGTGTGAAGGCTTTGTCGAATCCCTGACTGGGTAGGCCGGTAGGCCTAGAGCCCAGCGTCCCTCTTTCTCCTCTACCCCAGGCAGAAGCCTGTGGGAGCCACCGGTGAGCTGACGGTGGAGTCGCTGCCCTCCTCCTCCAGGCCGACACAGCCAGGACCTCAAAGCAGAACGCGACTGCGACCGACTGCGACCTCTGTTGGGACCTTGACCTGCCCCCAAATTCGGCACGGAGGTGCAATGGTCCATGTCGGCGATGTCTCAATCCTGCCAAGCCAACGAAACAGCCCACTGCTGCGGAGCAGAGACAGCCACGAAGCCCCATCCCCCGAGGCCCGAGCCCCCGAACATCTAAGCTCATGCAAAGCTGAGATTCCCTGTCTTATCTTGCGTTGGAGCCCCATTCGGGCTGGAGGAAGGCATGTTTTGAGGAACCGGTTTACTTGTCTCGTTCACTCTCCGAGAAGTGTCTCTCGCTCGGCCTGGACACCCGGTACCAGAAGGGCCATCGCGCAGGGAGGGCGGTTAAAGGGTGGCCCGTGCCTCTGCGCTCCTTCCTGGCTGCGTCTCGCTCTTAGAGGCCCTTGCGAAACTCCCTGTGAACCTTGCGCCGCTTCAATGCTGTTGCTTCAGTGAGACTGATATCTGGAGCCATGATGGCGGCCGCCACATCGAGTCTGGTGGCGAGCTACGACTGACATGTCTGGACATGTCTTCGCTCCGTCCGGATCTGACGCGCGCCTGTTGCCTGGAGACCGGAACCGGCACAAAGGCCTTGCCCACGATCGGCCTCGAATACTCAGCAGAGACTTGCAATGCCACGTTAGGCCTGAACAGCTTCTGCCTCGTTTTGGCAACTCCCTTGCCGTATGGGGCGGCAAACCTCAGACCAACAAGGACTTGCAGACTTGCATGCAAAGTGCCATACTTCTGGAAGTCGTGAAGTGAAAGAGGCAGATGCACAGAGGGCTGAGGTATTTGAGGCTGCGCAGCTTTGGCAGGACCATATCCTGTCCCAAGCTGCCACATCACGGCAAGGAAAGGAACAGCCCTTCTGGGCACCTCCGGGAACGACAGGATTTAGAGGAAGCGCGGGTGCAACGTCCGGGCTCGGAATCATGTCGCCTCGCAAGCTAGGACACCAAGGTATGCCATAAATCGCATCCTTGCGCACCAAAATCGTTCCCGCCTTTGCTCCAGCCCTTCGAGCCAGTGGCCCTGCAAGCTTCACTCTGGGGCACACTTGCACACAATTTGCAAAAACTGCTGTTTGAGAACACCGTTTGTAAAGACCACGATCCATGCGACCCATGTCGTACTTTGGGCTGGGAGTGCTATCCGCTACTCTGACCGCCTTCGACGCAAGCACGCCACACACATTTTTTCAGGACTGTAAGACCGATTCAAAGGCCATCTCCGGACTGCCACCAGCCACCAGAACACTCAAACAAATCGAGCGGAGGCTCCTTCCCAACTCTGTCGCAACAGGCGCCGCAAAACCCTCTGTGGGCGTTTAAACGGGACCATATGCCATGTCCTTCGATGCGATCCACACTTCGAAAAGGCATCACCTGGCTGGGAGGGCAGGAGGAGGAGGAGGAGGAGCAGGCGGATGAGGAGGAGGAGGAGGAGGAGGAGGAGGACAAGGAGAACGATGCAGGAGGGCAGGAGGAAGAGGAGGAGGAGGAGGAGGGTGACAGCGACAGGATGTGCTTGTGGTGGTAATGGTACTGGTGGTGCTGCTCGTGCCGGTGCGGGTGGCGGGGTGGTGCACACCTGCGCCGATTCTTAATTTCCGTTTGTTGCATTCCACGTCAATGGACTTACTCCCCTGTTTTATCGAGCTGTCCGTTCTGCAGCATTCCTGCAACTCTGGTGCAACTCGTTGATTGCCTTGTTCATCGCCTTTATCACTGTTATACTTCGTTGCCGATGCTTTCTTTTCGACTGCACATTCACGGTTTCTATCACAGATCTCAGTTAGGGAAGAGACGAAGCCGCAAACACCGGTGACAAGTTTCCAAAGGCTCAGGACTCGGCCAAGGGGGCGTCACCGAGGCGCTCTTTCCTCAGCCCGAGTATTTCGAAGCGCACGGCATCCCTTCGCATCCGCAATGCCTGGGCAGCCGCCGCATCCTCCGACCCCCGGGTCAGGGGCTGCACCTGCGGCGATTATCTGCCTGTCTGCCAGTGCCAAGTGCCCGATGCGCTTGAAAAGGCCTCCTTTGCTCCAGCCCTTGCCGCCCGAAGCCCTGGCCGGACCAACGAAGAGACAGCATCCGCATGGCCGAAGTTTGGCTGCGGTCCCCGGCCATGGTGGAGGCGGTACAACTGCAGCCGCCTTGCCTGTTGCAGTGTAAAACGAAACCTTTCATGGTCTGTGCGCAGTGCGCGCCGTTGCCCATCGCCTGCGACCAAAGCTGGGCCTCTAGGCCCTGCGGGCGCTCCTGGCTTTGGAGCCGTCAGATGGCTGTGAAGCTTTCGCAGTTAGTGAGGCTGCAGCCATGAATGTCGCTGGCGCGAAACATCACCTGTCGCCCGCCCCCACACATCAACGTCGTTGCGTCGCTGCATGGTTTTATACAGCTGTACGTTTGCCAAGCCACGCCGCCGGGGCGCGGCAGCGCCTTCCCATGACCCTCTGAGCCGAAAATTTCACGAGATCTTCCTCCCTGCCTGCTGAGTGGAGCAAGTATCAATGTGGGTGCAATCGCAGCGAAATGTTTGTGTCTCCGTCCCTCTGTGCTCGAAGAATCGAACGGTGTCCGGAGCACTTTGGGCACAAGCGCACGTGCTGCAGGCCTGATGGCCAAAGCCAATCGTGCTGCCGTGCCGTGGCTTCATAGCATGAGCACAATCTGCGAAGTCTGCGAAGACAGAATCACTGCTCTCGGCTTTACCTCATGGCAGCACGAGGCTCCCTTTACGACCTCGCAAAGACTCTAAGCCACATACCAATGAACCGGCATTCACGCGCAACTAGTGTCTGAGTCCGAGTCGTCTGTCGTCTGGTCAGCAAGCTCAACCGGATTTCGAAGGCTATCCGACTATCCGCCTCCTCATGTAGAACCAAGGAGTCGAGTCGAAATCGCTGCACGCTCGAACATGACAGGACAGGAAGCACCAAATCTGCAACCATTTGCCGGCAGATCCGCAAAGATTGTGACTGGTTTGGCTACGACCAGCAGCACTGCAACAAGACGTTGACGATCGCGCAGAACACCATTCAATTCGTGAACATGTTATTCAGAAATAGGCTCGGGCAACCGACTCCAAAATCGACGCAGCAAAGCTCACAAGTGGTATCAAAACCATGGTAAATGCCTGCCGGCTTTTCATGCACTAAAGACCGAAGTAGGAAAAACAACAAGCATTGATGACATTGTCACTTGCGCACTGCTCCTCAGAAAATCCATAGGCTCTGCCGAAGCTACATTGCATGATGCAACCGGATGCGGAGGACAAGCTTTTGGCGTGGTTGGAATCAGGTTCACAGGTTCACATATAGTCTAGAGACAAAGCAAGGGAGAGGTGTCAACATCCCCACGTCGACGAAAGCCGATATCATGATATCTTGGATGCAACACAGGCGAAATCATGTGCACAGGAGACAGAGCACAAGATGGCTTACATCTCATGCAGGAACATGCAAAATACTAGGCCGCTCGGGATACGGGCGAAGTGCCCAGAATGACTGCTGCAGTAGCTTCTAGCACCCGCAAAGCAGGAAAGCAAAGTTGGTCACCTACAGGACGGTCGTGGTTCTTGAAAGTGGTAGCCTTGAGCTTTAAACGCTTCATCTGGATGCCCAGCACCTGCTTTTGTCCCACTGAGGTACGAGTGGTACAGCGCCTCCTGACGGCCTTTGCTCAGCGCAGGGGTCTTCAAGAATCAGGCAAGGTGTCAGTGTTGGTGCGCCATGCCTCCCGCTGGCTCAAGTGGCGACGAAGAGCGGCGAGCAGACCAATGTTATCGTGGACAACAGCCTGCAACAGTCTAGAATCTAGAAGAGCTTGCATGGTCTGTCTTTTGCGCTCCCAGGGCGAGTGCACGCCCACCTGTTGTGGGGCTTTATGGACAAACAACTCAAGCACTTCTTCGCGGAAAGGAAACACTCCAAAGGATGAGTGCTCTCCTGTTGTATCTCCATCTATAGCGCACCAAAGTTCACCCTGCACGACAAAGCCTCACATCCGCTCCAGCCCTCCCTCCAATTTGCAGTGCACAGAAGCATCCGCAGCTGGACAGAACGGAATTCTGGCAGGAGGATCCCCAAGCATGGAAATGGAGCTGAATCTAGGAATCTAGTAAAGCGTTGACAACCCCTCAGTATCAAGAAGGGGCTAGGCAGAAAATGTTAGTGTGGATCCTAGCCCGGCAGATAAATCAAAACGTCGAATGCACAATGCAGCGTTGAGGTACGTAATTACCACGACTCGGCTGTCTCTGTCTCTGTGTGTTCCTCAGCACAGTTGGAGGACGGCACCTGTGCACTCTCTCTCGCTCTCTCTCTCTCTCTCTCTCTCTCTCTCTCTCTCTCTCTCTCTCTCTCTCTCTCTCTCTCTCTCTCTCTCTCTCTCTCTCTCTCTCTTTCATGGGATAAGACGAAGGCTCTCTCTCTCTCTCTGCCTCTCTCTCGCTCTCTGCATTGCATCGGGGATGTGTAGGGCCCCGGGCCGCTGTCCCTCTCGCTGTCTTCCTTTGTTCCTTCCTTGCTTCGTTCCTCCCTTCCTTCCCGAATAATGCACACCTCCCTCCCGACAACCCACTCCCCCAAATACCAAGATGTAGTCGCTCCTCTAAGGTGTGCGGGCTCCCGTGCGAGCGAGTGGTACCCTCTATGTCCGCTTCTAACAGCGACAGCCCAGCCGGCCAGCCGACCAACAGCTCACAAGTCTAATGCTCCTGTCCCGTTGGTGTTACGAGCCACTACTTGTGTGTGAAAAAGCATCGTCGTCGCTGGAATCGTAAAACAAGGCAGCTTGACTTGATGAGCACGTGCAGCGAAGGCCCCGCGGTGTCCTGGGGGAGCGAAAGGCTCTAAGCAGACGCTTTCACCCTTTCACCTGCAGCTCTCAGCTGTCTAGACTTCTGGACTTCTGGACTGGGACTTGCGGGACTGGGCCTTGCTTGGATCGCCCACGGTGTCGCCTCGGCGGTGAAATACTTCGACTTCAACTCTTCCTTCTAATTTCTCCAAATCCCCCAGGCCCTCGCCCGTGACGGCTGCTTTGTGAGCCGCGCTGCCCTTCCCGCCGTGAACTCCCTGCTCGATGTACCTGCGAGCGACGGGCCTTGTAGTGCACTGGCGCCATGGCGACACGGACACTTCAGTTCACAAGGCTTGAACACAGGAGCTGCTGGCACTTCTTCGCATTGTCCCAGGCACCACCTCGGGAAGCATCAGCAGCCCAGCACTGAGAGCCAGCAGCTGTTCTACGCAGTGCCATGCAGCTCCCAAACCAGTCCCGACTCGCTCTCATGTCGCTGCGCATAAGTGCTCCAGCACATCCACATCATGGAGCTCAACCAGTGTCAAGGTTTACCATTGCCGGTTGGTTTCTCGCACTGCAGCCACATGCACATGTGAGATTCCGCCTGCGAGCTCCGTGCAGCGAATGTCCCCGAGACGGTGGCCTGCCGTGTTGAGGAAGATGGCGAACAGGACACCGGAGGACGTCGCAAACATCAGGAAGCTGGCCTGCAAAGCGGCATTGCGAGAGCACCAGACCCAGAGGGCTGGGAGCACTCGGACCCTGGCAATAGCTTTCGCACCAATCAGCCGGTCGTTTCCTCGTCACAAAGGTATGCGAGGCCGCTGACCCCGAAGCTCTGTGCAGCGAGGCGCCGCTGGAAGCCACCCTGAAGAAGAAGCCTACCTGGGAGGACCGAAAAAATCGCACGTGCGGAGATCCAATACCCAAGCGGCCAAGCCGAGCCCCTGACACAAAGAGGAACTGTGGTTGCCACAATGCCTGTCCGTCATTATGCCACTATGCCCCAGATAAGGGTTGAAGGCAAGTCTTTGCTTGGACGGGCGAGCGTAGTCCAGGCGAGTCGGCGTGGGCCGCATGTGCAGCTGAAGCGTTGTGTAAGAGACAATCCGTGCCTGAGCCTGTGTCGTCACCTGCTGACGCTTCTCTAGGACACACCTTCAAAGATCCACATGGATCGTGCTCGAAATCGCATCGTGTTGTAAATCCTACAATTGATCCAGTAGATGGGTTTAGGGCACATTAGGTCTCCAAGCGCCTCCTGCTGCGCGTGCCACTTCCCGGCTCTTGTGGATGGAACGTGCTTGAGACATTTTCTGAACAACGGATGTGGTTGAGCTAATCTGCCTCAAGCGGGTAGCAAATGATCAACAAGCGCTGCCTTTACATTGGGCATCGGCAACCTGCAGCGGATGCCAGGGTTCCACTGGCAGAAACTTCTCAAGCACTGTCCATCTCACTAGTCCCTAGCCCCAGCCACTAGCCGTTGGAGAATTCACCTTCATGTCCCTCAGATGCTTCAGTTCTAGGATCTTGGAGCCTCAGCGGATGCAACTTTAAATTGTCACCGTTTCGCGAGGGGGCGTCAGGTCCCCAAAGCGAGAGAACCTTCTCACCATGTCTGAATGAAATGCTTGCCTGTGTGAGTGCAGTCATATGCCTCGTTTAGGTGTTGTGCGAGTGTGCGGGGTGCGGATGTGCTTCCGTTTGGTTGTCGCTTGCTTGCATCACAGGCCTAGAGCCAGTACGCCCTGAGAGCAAAGCGCGGGGCTTCAAGAGCCCATAAACACCGACTCCTGCTCTTGCATTGCTTGCATGCTCACTGCGCCCCGTTATATCTGAGCCAGGCTCAGTTTCTTGAAGCTGTGCATTGATCCATATTGATCCACTCCGCTTCGTGCTTTGCATTTCAGAACATTGCCATGCACGCGAAAAAGACAAAGGCTTGCGACACGAACACGTGCTCGCGAACTCTGACATCGTGGCATTTGGCCTGGAGCCACCATCTCCCGAAGCGCGGCTCTCGTGACGATGGAAACACACCTCCAGGCACAGCCCTGCGTGGGCCATGGCTGCCCTGGCTCCGGTCCGAGTCCCGGGCGAGGCGTAGTCCGGCTTTTGGGAGCCATCCATGATCCCCGGCCTCTCCCTGAATTGAGTTCGCCTCACACATAGCCACTGTAGCCACTGTAGCCCAAGAGTCGAGACCGTCTGAGGCTGCCAGCACGTTGTTCACCACCTCCTGCGCTGCAGAACCGACCTGTTTCGGACTGCGGCGTCTCAGACAACACTCGTTCAAGTTCCCCTTTTCGGAAGAGAAGCCCGGCCGCCGTCATGCATTGCCCACTGAAGTAGAAGACCAGCGTCGCACCCGCGATGCCCCCAAGAAAGACCTGTCGGAGACGCTTGACGTCTTCTAATTTGCACAGCGTCGCTTCCCCCGAGTCACTGCATCTCCCCGACCTCGGGAACTGAAATGTCCACGGCACCCTGGGCAGAAGTCACAAGCAAGCGCCTTCTGCCTTCTGTCGTACTTGGCTCTCCAAGCCACCACTTTTTCGCCGGCCAGTTCAGAGACCTCGGCCGTGGGGAGATGTCGGTGCTGCGGCACGGCAGTGCGGTGCCCTACGGCACCTCGTCCAAAAAGGCTGAGAACAGGAGGAAGCACCTAAAGCGATGCGACTCTCACACTCCGCGCACTTCGCTTCAGTCCTAAGTTGCCAACGCCAAGCTTGCCGAGCCCACGGAGAAGCCCTGCAAAGGCGCTCGGACACGCCAGTGTGCAGCCATACACAGCAGATCGTGTTCAGCAAAACACGTGCAAAGGCGAGAGACAACGATTGCAACATCAAGAGCCGAAGTGTCACAGTTCAACAAGAACAGCAACAGCCAGCAACGGGTACGAACCGAATGTGTGAAAACCCATGGGATGTGACATGCCTGGCTCGGACGCAGTCGCCTGCATGCGCAAATCAACAAGATTTCGGCTAGATGGCAGCATCCCTGAACGGCATTCACTACACACCTCCTCTTCCGGTTTCTGCATGTGCTCGTGTGGTACACAACAATGAGTTCTGCACACTGCAGCGCAGGTGCCGCGCTTCTGCCTCGCTTCTGTGAGCAACTTCAGGTTGGCACATGACATGAAGCATCATGAAGCATTACATGACCTGCATGGTGCAGGATAATGTTGTGAACATGAGCGGAGTAGTTAGCAGGACACTGTGGCTTGCGAAACTTGACCAAGTTGTTGCAACGGTGGTGAATGTCTTCAGACAACGCTTTGCAACACCGCCCCCCCAACTTCCCTGTCCCCTGCCGCCCCTGCCCCTGCCCCCCAAAAAATCTCCGGCCATGTTCTACAACAACCAGCGGCCACATGAAATAGAACTCTAAGCGGACGCAGCACTTGCGCTCGCGATGCAAAACATAGAGCTCTTTCGCGCAAAGCGAATCAAAAGTCTAGCTCAAGGAGAGGTCAGCAACGGAATTCAGGAAGGGCTCATGCAATCCAAGGTGCAATGTAGCACAAATTGTAGCACAAAAATTTAAAGAACAACCCGTGCTCCCGTCCTTAGTGATGGCTTTGGTCGTGTTTCCCACCGCATCGAGGCTGTCTGTGATGTTCCGCACCTGGCAGCCGAGTCTGTCGAGTCGGCGGGAGCTGAAGCGCCGAAGCCGGCACTGCCAGGCACCGGGCGGTCTCTGGCTGTTCGCTCATCTCCACGATGCCACCCGCCTAAGCAACACGACACCACACCGCGAGAACACCTATCAATGGCCCCACCTCTCAGCCAAGCGGCATTGTCGGTGATCGGACCGAAGACATCCATGGCCAAGACGAAAACCACCTCGAATCCAGGCCGAAGCTCCCTCCTCTGTCAAGCACTCTACGTAATACTTGGGGTCGGGCTGTGGACAGCATTCCTCAGCACAATTCATGTCATTGGTGGGGGCCGGGGTCCCCGAAATCGAGAGCTCGTCTTCTTGAGCAGGCAGCCCATCGTGGCCACGGCAGTACCAAAAAGTCCGGCACTGGGAGATCCATCGAGAGCGGCCATGCCGGTCTCAGAAGTGACGTCTTTGGGTGTTCTTCCCTCCGGTGCTGTATCACGGTGTCGGATTTCGAACCTTGTAGGAGCACAGCAGTGCCACGCAGATGATGCCCGCTGGCGCAGCTGTGGCTCGCATTCCCACCTTTATCCCCATGTTTGGGGAGACAGACTGCGCACACACACACACACGCACACACACACACACACGCACACACTGGCTCGGCACGTACTGATGCGAAGGGCGATTGACAGGACCCGACGAAACGACGACAGATTGCAGTAACTGCGCAGGCTTAGTTTCACACTTCGGCCCACGATGGAAGCAATGCATTTACAGGTATTTCTTGGCTGGCTGCACGTGCAGGTACAGGTGGTTGATCAAACCACCCTTCCCCCATCTTGGAGTAGCTTCGTTGGCACAGGTATCCAAAACGGGCGTGTGCCCGCTGCCTGGAAGAGAATCGGCTGTAGTCTACTTTGTCGAAAAACTCACTCTGACATCATGCTCAGGTGTGTACACACACACACACACACACACACGCCCTGGTAGTCCAGGGCTTGCTCATTCAGACATATTATGATTCAAAAAATGTGCAGAATGGGACACTCCTATGCTGCCGACTCAAAGTTTTATCTGCCAGGCAACCCTACGCCGACGACAATCACCTTCATCGAAAATGCTCTGTCGGACACCATGTTCACGTGTGTACACACACACTCATGCCCTGGTAATCCAGGGCTTCATCATTAAACGTAAGATGGAGGAGTTGTGACTGAAAAGGGTAATCCTGTGCAGCCGTGGCGAAATTGCATCGGCTAGACAACCCTAGCAACGCAAACCTAAGCTTGCAGCACGTGAGCTTAGAATGGGCAAATCTGATGCTTTACATGCAGTGCTCAATCCTGGCTTGCGGGTGCCGGAGCGAAAACTGTGAAAGGGCACCGTGAAACATACAGGAAATGGCATCGGCATCGCAGTCCTGCCCTGACGAGCATTTTGGCGCATGCCGTTGTTCGACAGACCATTGCTGTCGTGTCGATATGCCAGAATGAAATCTCATGGGGTCATCACCCGAAGCTGATGACCTACACCGGTCAGACATAAAAGACGACGAATTCAGGTCCATGATGGAGGCAATCTTTGTTTTCCGGGTCTTCTTCTTCGCCTGTTTTTTCTTTCTCGGCTCATTGGACGAATGTTCTTCGACTTGTGCTGCTTATCCTTTCTCCCTGCCTTTGTATCCTTCTTTGTTTTTCTTCTTGGTTTTCTTGCCGGTACCACCGACAAGCTTGGACTTCCCAGTGCCAACGGTGTCGGCAGGCGGAGCCGTCGGGGAATCGAAGGCCGAATGCCAAGAACTCATGTCATCAGGGAGGTCCTCCGCTGGGGAGGGACATGATCCCTGGACCAGTGTGCAACAAAACGGCTGCAGGCGATCGATGGATGTATCTGAAAGAACGCAAGCACTGCAATTGTTTGCAGATCTACTTGTCTGAAAGGCAACGCAGCAGTTTGGCCACTTCAGTGGGGTGGCGCTGTGATCCATTAAGTTGAATGCAATGTGGCATTGGAAAGATCTTAACTATGCGTCTGCTCAAGCGGCTTTGATGCTCTCACTTCTATGGAGATCTGGCACTTTTGCGTGAAGGAGAAGATGGGAGATCACTCTGGGGATTCAAGCGACGGTCTGCAATGGCTCTTTGTCTGAACCACGTGCGCGTAGCTTTGAACCATTCCCACCACCAGTGCTCGCCGTCAAAGGGAATCGGTGATCGACTCTTCTGGCATTCGGGCATGATGTTGCTGTGGGCTCCAGTGAGAAATGGCTGCAGAAAAACACAACAAGGTATGCGAAAAATGTATTGCGCGGGGCGGCAATCGAACGCACTAAGGCCGCATGTGAAGAACTGGTTTTTCGAGGCTTCACTCCTGTTGGTGCAAAGGTGATTTTCCTTGGCCAAGCTGCTTCAAGACGCTGCACTCGGATTTCACATGTCGCCATGGTGACGAAGGCAGCAGGCATGTCTCGCAAAGATCAGCTTCGCAGCGAACTAAGTTGGGAAGAATCATGGGAGTGTTGGTCCCCATCTTCACTGTGAGAATCGTCACTGTCACCATCGAGTATCTCAAGGAGGGCCTGCGCCAATTGTTCCCGTCGAGCGGTAGGGCTTTCGGCAAGATCCGGAGTGTTCTCAGGCGTACTGGAAGCCATGTTATCAACCTTGAGACATCCATGCAGAGAAACACTAAAGTGAAAGCTGATGCGAGCTGTCAGTGCACATGTGGCTACGCGAAAAAAGACACTCCAGCTCCAGACTGTAGAGAGAGGCGACGCTTCATGGCAAACGCCAGAACAATGCCTTGAAAGCAAAAGTATGTATTGGGAGACTTCGCTCGTCCTCGGCGAGGTTCCACAAAAACCTGAGGTCCGTGAGAGCTTGCGCTTGTGGGTGAGCGAACTTCTTGGTGGTATGCGCTCTGGCCGACAGGCCGCTGAGCTGTTGTTCGGATCTGCGATCTGAGATCCAGAGTCGGTTGTCGTATCTGCAATGCACCTCCAGCTATGCCGGATGCCAGGGAAAGACGCGAAATTTCAACGGCAAGGGAGGTCGGCATATTGATGGCTCCGCTTGTTCGACATCTACCGCATGAAGCTGCGCGGTTTCTCAGGCGGGTTCGGCATGCCTTGAATACCATCCTCTGATCCCGTGTCTCCCGGGCCTGGCACCAGGATCAGGCATGCACTGTGGACTGCGGCTGCGGTCCTGCTTGGAAGAAGGGCCTCCGATGGCTGCGGCTTGGCCCGGTACGGTCGCCGGAGAGCGGCGACGCTTGACGCCATGCCTCGTACCTGATCTGCTGTCCATTTGCCTGGGCCGAAGTGAAAGACTGCCGGCTTTCTTCTGGCGCTCGGCTGCTTTCCGAGGAGGTGTGCCACGGCGCTGCTTGCCACATGAGAACGGTGGCGTCGATCAAAGCGTTGTGGGCGGCCTTTGTCATTCTTGCGTGAGGTCTTTGCTTTGGCACGAGGCTGTTTTGCTAGCCAGTGCCGATAGCCTGCCAGCCCGACACGTTCTGCACGTGTGCCCCAACTCAACTCGCCGTGATTCTCTATCGCACAAAAGATGCTATTGCATTGGTTTCGCCCACACCTATCACAGGTTACTATACTGCCGCTTCTGCTGCACTTGATTGGGGGGACCTGTTTCTGGGTCCTGCCCAGCCCCGTCGGTCTCGGTCCGCACTCGGAGCAATGTAGCCTCCCTCCCGCGCTGGCCTGCTCTGGCCGTCTAGCCTCCTCTTGCCTGCAGCGGGTGGGGCCCTATCGTCTCATCCTGCTGCTCCATCTCGCCAGCAGCTGCTCTAGCAGGGTTCTGCAACCTAGCCGGTGCCGGGGCACTGGCTACGGCGGCTACGGCATCATCTCCACTCGCCGCGGCCTTTCACCTTTCTCCAGCAACAAACCTGGGACTGGGCTAGCCGATGGATTGGTCTGTCTCTAGCTTCTCTCGCCATCGCCGTAAGTTTGGGCCAGTTCACCCAGCCTTAGCCGTTGCAACTCGCCAGAGAAGTCCTCGCACCTATCCTCGTGGAGCCAATATCGAGTTCCCAGCCAGCACGTGGACGTTGTGGTCCCTGGCACGACTCCTGGGACGGAGGCCGCCCAATATCCGATGTAGCCTCGGGGCAACTATCCTGGCTATCATCTGTGTCGGCCCACGGGGCCGTATCCTTTCCTCTCTCCTCGGCGCCAGGTGGCCGTGCCACGAGTAGCCGGAAGGAAATAGATACCCCCGGTCTAGCCACGCACGAGCTCTCCGGGAACATGTGCATATGCCCTCGCGCTAGCCCTTTACGCACAAGCACACGCACTAGCACTTTACCAAGACAGCACACACTAGCCCTTTACCAAGACAGCAAATGCGCGCACTAGCCCTTTACCAAGACAGCAGGCACACACACACACACACACAGACACACACACACACACACACACACACACACACACACACACACACACACACACACACACACACACACACACAGAGACACACACACACAGACACACACACAGACACACACACACACACACACAGACACACACACACACAGACACACACAGACAGACACACACAGACACACACAGACACACAGACACACACAGACACACACAGACACACACAGACACACACAGACACACAGACACACACACACACACACACACACACACACACACAGACACACACACACACACACACACACACACACATTGGCCCTTTACCAAGAGTGCAAGAACGTGGTTCTCTCCTCTCCTCTCCTCTTTCTTTCTCTCTCTCCCCCCCCTTTTTCGAGATTGCCCGAGAAAGAGGGACGGAGTTGAGTGTAGCCCCTTTCAGAGTCAGCCCCACTTCCTCCCCTAGCCGCAGTCGTTCACTGTCCCCCAGCCATCCACAAAAGGAGCGGCCGGCTCAGCCGGGCCCTCTCCCACCGGGCGCTCGCCCCCCGGCTCCGAGCCGTCTTCGTCCCCAGTTCTCGCCTGCGAGCTTTCGCTTGCACTATCCCGGCTATCGTTCTCCCTTCCCTTCGGCCAACACAGCCGGCACACATGAGTGTATTCGCCCTTGTCTGGCCGGGAAGAGAACTCGCGGGAGCTTTTAAATATCCTACGACGGCCCATCCAACATCCGGCCTCGCCCCCTTTATGTAGCCGGTTCTTGCGCCCCGAACCTCCACCATCAGAAATTTGGTGACCAGCCTTCTTAAGCAACTGCCTGGGGCGGTGCTGTTCCACCGGAGCCCAGCTCTCCGTCGCTGTCGTCGCCGCTGTCCTCGACCTGCTTCTCCGGCTCCATCGGGTCCGGGACCAAAAATCTCCTCTCCAGAACCGCCTCGCCGATGATCTCCGCATTCCATTCCATTCGGAACGCATTTTTTGCTAGCCATCCGTTCGGCGCCTTCCTCGCCGAGCTTTTTCCTGTCCTCGCTAGCCATTTTGTCCAGGCCCGTCGCGATCTCCCTCTCGTCGAGCTCGCCCTCCTCCGACCCAGACGCCGTAGCGAAGATCGCCTGTAGGCTCGCATATAGATATCCGAGCCCCCCAGTTTCCAGCGGCCCAACATATCCCGATCGGCCGGCCTAGC